TCGTGAACGATGATGTTGATTTTCTGCGTTGTGTTAGAATTGTAATCTGCCTGTAGTTTTGGCAACAGCAGTGGAGGAAGTGAACAAAGCCGTTCAGTCCACGTTGGCCTCGCTTCCAAATATTGAATTAACAGTAACGGCCATCTTGCTCGTCTCGGTTCTTCTCTCTTTGCGGTGGACGATGGTTGTTTACAGTGCAGGGAATTTCTGGTAAGCTTCATGGCATCAAACTGGCATATTACATACGTCACGCCCAAATGTTTACAATTAGGTAATATTTAAAACCTCGACAGAGTCCACGCCTACGGGAAGCGATTGTTTCTCAGTAGCCCAGAACCTCTGCACGAAGTGGAATGACGTGTTTTTAGAAAATACATGTGGAATATTTTCTAAAATGATACAGAAACAATTCTGAAGTTTTTTCTTCAACTTGCTGAGATTTATGGCGGATTACTTCACTTAAAACTGGCACTTTTTCCATCAACAATAAGTAATTATTGACTTAAAACAAGCTCTTGTATGTTGCTGAAAAGTTGTGAGATAGTTTTCTTATTTCAAGTGTACTAAAATGTTTGCGGTAAAAACTAAACCAAAAATACCAATAATAAGATTTTGTTTTTGAAGTGTAGTTTTTTATTGCTGAAGAAAACGGATGTTCTGTCATGGGACACTGTCCTGTGACTCCAGTATTCATTTTTAGTTTTCTTCTTCTTACTCCTTAATGTATCCCAAAGTGTTTCTGCTTTGTAATTCAGTCCGTCGTGAATCAAAACGTGTAGATGCTAATCATTTTCTCATGCAGCATTTAGTTTATCAGTCTCAGCAGGACACCAACTCCTTCCAGTCTCTTTAAAAAAGCCTCTGCAAAAAGCTCAGAGCAGCAGAGCAAAGGGAGCTTTGGTGGGGTTGAGTTGAAGCAGATGGCCAGACGAGCTGCAGCCACCTCCTTTCCTCCAGGGAGTCGTATTGTCTGTCCTGGAATGCTGCTCCGCTGACCTGCGACCCCCCTCGGCGTGAGCGAGGAGGCGTACTGTGACTTCATGGTAACGATCTGTGTCACACACTGTAAAATCATCACACATCCGAGGCGACAAAGCTGGAGGACTTCCAAGAACCCATTACATCAGAGGGTCGTTAAATGTGTCTGAGTTAATGTGTGCAGCGAGCGCGATCCAAATGTATTACAGCTGGCGCTTTTATGAAGGGAGGCCTGCTGCCGCCTTAACTGAAAACAGAAAAAAAGAGGAGAAAAAAAAAAAAGCATTTCTTCCTGGCCGAGGTGATTCTGGGACGGAAATATCGTTTCTTGGATGCATTTTATATTAGAATGAAGAAACAAAATGAAAACATGAAATGTTTTTTTTGTTATATATATTACTGCATATTCAGTTGTTTTGACATGTATTATAAGGTATTTCATATAGATTTTAACAATACACCTGGGGATTTTGGTAATATAGTCAAACGAAACTGAAGGGAAAAAAGCAGAGTACAGGTGAAACGTCGGATTTTATCGGTTGTATGATTTCTCACTTGTCTTTGGAAAAAGACCACAGGTCACTTCTCCCTGCACAGCTGCACTCTGGAATTTGTTTAGGTTGTATCTACCCAGAATGCCCGGTGCTATAGTCCACTTCCTGCTTTTGGAGTGATCCCTGGTTGGTCTATGGGTCTACTTGGCCTAAAAATATCCATTTGGACCGTACCGAAACAGCTTCTGGAGAGGATAAATTAAAAAGATACTCTACATTTATTCTCGCTTAAAATGGCTAAAATTATTTTCAGATAAAATCACTTTGGGTTAAGAAGGCTAAAATATCATCACCCAGCATTTCCAGAGAAACTTGTCCATTTTAAGCCCTAAACATTTAGTTTGGTGGTGAAGTGAGAGCATGTTGAGTTTAAAAGAGCTGCCTGAAGCCTTGAGAAAGAAGATTTTAACAACTTGTGTTAAATCAGACTGCTAAGAAAACAATCTACGGTGAAGAACACTCCCAACATGCCTCAGTCTGGCCTTCCAAGCAAGCGTACCCCAAAAGCAGGCCACACGATCCTAAAAGAAGGCTCCAAAAAAATTCTAAAACTTTACCACAGAATCTGCAGATAAAATATGGTACTTTAACAAGTTGCGTGCAAGAAGGAAGTCTCACAGCAAAGGTATGTTGTATAAAAACAATGGCCAGTTTGATTGAACATTTCATCGTCAGAGGACCAGAAAGTGCTGCAGCCTCTGTGTTTTGGAATCTGGAGGTCGGCTGTGACCACAGAGTGTTCACAAACAGTTGGATGCGTTGGCTGTATTTTTATTTCCACGTGGCCGTCACTGACTGAGAGCAACACCCGCTCTCTGGAGAGCTGAGAGCAGGCGGAGAATATGTGTGACATGTATGATTTGAAAAAGCCAGAGCAGTTAGCGCAAAATAACAACAGGGACATAAATATCACAGTCAACGTGTCGTTTACGGAGACGAAAACAGCTCCTGCGGTTCTGCTGTAACATGAACCGCACAGTACTTGCCTTACAGGTGGAATCGTGGCTCTTGATGTGGAGAGGAGTACATTTTCATGGTTGGATTAACTGTCTGTGGGAAAAAGAGGACACAAAGAATTCAGTGTTCTTCACTCCCAGCGTCTGTGCCTCATCAGATGATTTGATTTCTCCCTGTTGCTCCCAGTAATGGCTAATTCGAACCAGTAGTCCCATCCTGAATGACCCAGGCCAAGAGCTGAGCTGTTGCAGGACACTGAATTATTTTTTAATGTCTTGCTTAAAAACCTTTAACTGTGGAAAACGTTGAATTTTGCTGACTTAACCGCAGTGGGCCAAGCAGCCAAATCCAAATTCATAGATGGGTTTTCACATTTTTTTAATGACTTGTGGTTCTTTTAAACTAAAGCTTGGTTGTAAAGCTGAAGGAATTTGAGATGTTGCTTTCAAAACTTTTAATATATAAAAATCTGAAAAGTGAAGCAGGCATTTGCATTTAGACCCCTTGTGCCAACACATTTGTACAAGCAGCTTTTGCCACAATTATTATTGCGCAGTTGCAGTTTTGTTGCATGCATTGCACATGTATTTATTTTATTTATTTCGAACATGATAGAAATATGAAATCACACACATAAACAAGGAATGCAAAAGAGACATATTTTTGTACCACAATAATCTTAACATGCTCAAAAAAGAGTAGGAAGAAGAAATAAACTTATGAACTCCTACCCCATAAACTCATAAACAATATTTTCAGATGGACCCTCATTATAAAAAAAAATATATATATATATATATATATATATATATATATATATATATATATATATATATATATATATATATATATATATATATATATATATATATATACACACATACATATATAGGTTAATTAATTTTCCATTTTAAGTGGGCTTACATATGTCTAGACTCTAGAGACTGGATTTATCTGTTTCTTTTTTGTAATGCAGTTCAAGCTCAGGTAGACTGGATAGACATTTTGTTGTTGCATTGTTACTAAGGGGCGTGAATACTATTGCAAGGCATTGTATGTATGCAGTAAATGTGGACACTCACTAGTTTTATGGGGGACACAGTTTAACCAATACCAGATCGAGAGGGCATCATGGCAGCAGTTCTGAAGGTTTTGTTTTTAGATGAAGTGAAAAAGTACAAAATTGATTTTTTTTTTCTTCTGATGCAAAAATCTAAATTTTTAGGCCTTCTGGTACTGTTTGCATGACTTAGTCACACTGGTTACTCACATAGAGTTTTAAAAAAACAAAAACAAATATGGGGTCAAAACTAGAGATGTGCCGATCAGGTTTTTTCCTGCCGATTCCAATTCCGATCACTCATGAGGGCCGACCACCGATACCGATCACATAATTATTTATTTTTTTTAAATCATAAGCACTACCGGTTACATTATGTGTAAAAACATAATGTAATTCACCTGGCTGCGAAATGAGATACCGCCGATTATGATCGGTGGCCGATCGATCGGCACACCTCTAGTCAAAACATTATTCATGCCTTGTTAACAGTTCAACTAATTTTCAATGTTTTCCTAGTTGTTGTTGTTTTTTTTTTAGTTTTTCTCTTTTTTTCTTTTTTCTTTTAGCTATTTCAGTTTACATTTTGGGTCCCTGAAAATATATATTTTGAAGCATGCGTCTTCAGCTGCTCGTCCTCTGCGGTGTGGATTTAATAGTTTGTATTTCCGAAGCATTCAGTCCTAAAGGCCACCTCCGCATTTCACTGGTTTGGTATGTACCCTTTCTTTTCCACTTTGATATTATGACGTGAACTTGGCCCACTTACAAATCCTGAACAAGATTTAACAGCAGAGCGCAGCTGGGAGCCGAGCTGGGATGTTTGTCAGCAGCAGAGCTTTAATGTCCCATCCGACGCGCAGGTAGCTGTTAATAAAAACATGTTAGTCACTTAGCTGAAGATGTTGAAAATGCAGTATCTCTGCGGGTTTCTAACGCAAAAGGAGGACTTTTAAAAGAATTTTTATGAATTAAATTTATAAGACCTGTAACACGATAGAAATGTACAAAATATAACTTACTATTTTATATGGTAGTAATGCCAAGCTAGCTAGCTTGAAACAGTTACCTAGCAACCTAGCTAGCTAGTTAGCTCGTTAGCAAGGGTATAGAATGTTTGGAGATTTAATACTGCTGCCTTTACAACATTTAAGACCTGTGATTAAGGCCAACTTATTTTTTTCTAATGAATTTGAGACGTTTTAAGGACTTAATTTTAGATATATAAATTTCTAACACCGTGATATTAAAGCATGATGAGGAAGGAGACTGTCCTGAACCACAGGCAGATGACCTGCACTGTGAAAAATTACAGTTAACACCAAATGTTAACACCAAATGTTTCTTGTACCTATCTACTTCTGACTTCAGTTTGAGGAAGGTTGTTTCCACTCTTTGCTTTCAGCTGTGAGATGTTAGATGATTTTTTCTTNTCGACAGTTTTTATGTCGAAGGAAAGATTTAATCTGAGCACAAATTTACTCAGGTTTTCACAAAAAGTCAAAGCTAAAAAATGGAATATGTAGGACAGTCGAGTAATGTTAATGGTGTGGTGTTATGGTGTGTGTGTGTGTTTCAGAGAGAGGTCTGCAAACAGACAGAGGTCTTTTATCAGAGCCGGTGGCAGAGTTGGGTCAGATGGAGTACCAGCTGCTCAAGTTCTTCACCCTGCTGTGAGTGGATGAAGGGGCACACACCACCTTCACCTTCTCCAACAGCTGACTCGTAGCTCCACACACACACACACACACACGCACACACACACGCACACACACACACACACACACACTGGGCTTTAATGTGCTGATATAAATAGGAGGTGATTCAGTCACAGGAGATGAGAGCTGCTGAAACACTCAGTCCACAGAGAAACGCCCTCCGATGAACCGTTGTTCACCACAATGTCTCTCACATTATGTCACAGAGCGACATGCGCTTCGTCATCTATTTCTGTACATCATTTGTTTTATTAGCAAGCTTAACCTCCTGAGTGAAGAAATAGAGCTCAACCTCATTCACTCATAAAATACACACCCAAAGCACATATCATGCATAATAGTTGTAATCAGTATAGTTTTATGCAGCTGTTTTAGATTTAGACACAACATAAAATTAAAGGTGTTATAGATTTATGGCAAAATTGGGAAAAATCATCGTCAGAAACAATTAAAACGACCCAACAAAAAGATTCAACAAAATAATTTAAAATCTATAATCTTAGACGTCTAAAATGAGTCAATTGTTTTATTTACTTTTTCTTATTCATAATTTACTTTAGTATCAATATCCATATTTATTATTTGATTTAGTTATGTTGTAAAAAAATAATTTAATTGGGAAATAGGGTTATATTTGTAGGTTATTTCTTTTGCCCTTTAATTTTCACTCATAATAATTTATTCATTAGTTAGTTTCTGCTCCAATCGTATGTTTTATTCATGTATTTCTTTCTTTCTTTCTTTCTTTCATGTCACAATAACTTTAAGTTTGTTTTTGTATTCATTTTATTTACAATTAACAATAATAAAAATTCTACATTTTTTCAGTTTTGATTCATAAAATGTAAATGTTTTTAAACATAAATGTGTGAATATGTCAAAAGAATTTATTAATCATAAACGTATTTTCATTTTCTCATGTTGTCCACAATGTTTCAATTTATTTTCGTTCATTTTGTAAATTCCTGCGTCAGCTGTTAGAGGAAGGGACGAGTTCAAATAAGACTAAGACTTTTTAAATGAAGAGAACTAAGACAAAAATAGAATGAAGAAAATAAGTTTGAAGGAAATTAGAAAACAGTAAAAACACAATACAGCAAATGTTTTGGCTTTCTTCTTTTCAACTTTTACGGATACATGACAGGACAGCAAACACCGCCCCCCAGTGTTCATTCAGAAACATTACAGCTCTCTTCCTTGGTGTTACAGAAGCATCTCAATGTGTTTGTCTCTTCTTCTTTCATCAGAATAATCCTCCTCATCCTCTCATCGTGCTATCTGGCCTTTCGTGTGTGCAGTCTGGAGCAGCAGCTCTCCTTCCTCAGTAACCCAAATCTGCCCCTCAGAGAGAGGTAACACACCTGCAGGCAGTGTGACTAAAAAAAAAATAAATAAAGTAACAAAGACGGATATGTTTTCTTCAAAACAGTGGAAATCTTGTACATACTTAGATGAAATCAATTCATGTTTGTACTGAATAGCAAGTTTTGAGCAAAAGTTTTGTAAAACTTTTCATTGCCAACGAGCGCTTTTCGCACGCCATGAACGCTAGTGGAGCTATTTCACATCATATTTTGGTAACTTTTTCTGAGCTTTTTTCTCATTAAAATTACTCCCCCCCCTCTCCATAATGTAAGACATTTTTCTGGTCAAATTGCATCTTTATTCACCTAATATTACACAATATTCTTGTAATGACACAAGAATTCTCCTTGCCTGAACCTAATACTCCGCCGTACAACTCACAGGAGTGGGAACTGAAATAAAAGCCACTTTTGTGAGTCATTTGTAAAAAAAATTTTTTATAAAAGAAAACAAGAAATAAAACAAATTAAATACGGATTTGGTATTATTTCATTTTTAATCCATATTGCCCAACCTCATCTACTTCACTAGTTCTGTTGCTAAGAATGTAAGGACATAATAATTATGCATACAGGGATAAAAACTATCTGTGCCATTAGGTTTCCACTAACAACACTGTCTTCTCCTGTTCCAGGTAACCTCTGCCTTCCACTTTAAACCCTCTCTCTTCAAGCTTGGAGCCGATGATGCCCCCCTTCCACCCACCACCCCAGCACAGATCCAGGATCATAACAAACCCTCCATCCCTCCTCGGCTGCATCATCAAGGTTCCAGGCATCTATAAGGTCCGGGACGACCACCCAACCCAAGATCACTTCCAGACTATGCAAACAGACTGTATATTTATTTCTAAACAGAAAGTAGATTTTGTTATAGATTGTCAGCAGTTCATATCGCAGATGTGCTTCAGTGTGAAAAGTGGGGGGAAAAAAAGATGCTGCTGAATCCTCACTGCTCTGTTGTGCAGACGGATGAGAAAGACGTTTGATGTTAAAATATTGAGATGTAAGTAAAAAGGAAATGTTTGTATTTTTTGATGGTTGCCAGCGTGAGTGAGCCGTTTGTTTATATCAAACATATTTTTGACTAATTGAGCAAACTAGTTTAATTTTAGAGGGAGAGTTAAAACTAGCAGTAACGTTGCACTTTTTCTTGTAAAGATGAAGTCCGAATCGTTTCAGCCACATGTCGCATCAAGTGTTTTTTTTTTTCTTCAGTAAAAGGTACTCAGTTGTCATCTTAAAGGTATTCACAGAAGAAGGTCATGTGAGCACAGAGATTTCACTTGTTTCTAGTGAAACAGAGCAATAATAGCTTTAAAAAAAAGAGTGGAGTGATTAGATAAAATTTTGTTTTTCATCACATTTATGAATATCTGTGTAAAAAAAAAAGTTGCTTGGATTCTTTTACTCAAACATTTCAAGTGAAGATGTTAGTCTTTAAGAGTCAAACAGAGTATTTGTTTTATGATGTTTGTCTGAGGATATCTCATGGATTTTCTACGGATGATGATGTATTTCTGGACGCTTTTAAATTAAATCTGCGACTACATTAAAATGACAGACTTTGTAGCTTTCTGCTTTGCTTTCCGACAAAAAGAGCGACAGTCTTGAAATTTTCTTGTTTATCCTGTTCTTTAATTGCCTTTCAAGATGAACTGGAAAATCACTGAAACTTTATCCAATGTTGTAAATCAAGGGTAGAGAAATATTAACTTCGGGAAAAAGATGCTCCTCTACAAGATGTAATTGATTTTGGATTGTGCTATTTGTAATTTTTACCTCATAATAGACCTTAGCCTTAGCCTGGCCATTGCCTTCCTTCACAATTTGCTCGATTCTCATCTCTCTTCACAGCTTTGCCTGGGCTTTCTCCCATTGACTTGGATTCTCTCCTGCAGAATTTCAACCGGATCAATAAGTGAACAGAAGGAAAAGTCGTGAACGATGATGTTGATTTTCTGCGTTGTGTTAGAATTGTAATCTGCCTGTAGTTTTGGCAACAGCAGTGGAGGAAGTGAACAAAGCCGTTCAGTCCACGTTGGCCTCGCTTCCAAATATTGAATTAACAGTAACGGCCATCTTGCTCGTCTCGGTTCTTCTCTCTTTGCGGTGGACGATGGTTGTTTACAGTGCAGGGAATTTCTGGTAAGCTTCATGGCATCAAACTGGCATATTACATACGTCACGCCCAAATGTTTACAATTAGGTAATATTTAAAACCTCGACAGAGTCCACGCCTACGGGAAGCGATTGTTTCTCAGTAGCCCAGAACCTCTGCACGAAGTGGAATGACGTGTTTTTAGAAAATACATGTGGAATATTTTCTAAAATGATACAGAAACAATTCTGAAGTTTTTTCTTCAACTTGCTGAGATTTATGGCGGATTACTTCACTTAAAACTGGCACTTTTTCCATCAACAATAAGTAATTATTGACTTAAAACAAGCTCTTGTATGTTGCTGAAAAGTTGTGAGATAGTTTTCTTATTTCAAGTGTACTAAAATGTTTGCGGTAAAAACTAAACCAAAAATACCAATAATAAGATTTTGTTTTTGAAGTGTAGTTTTTTATTGCTGAAGAAAACGGATGTTCTGTCATGGGACACTGTCCTGTGACTCCAGTATTCATTTTTAGTTTTCTTCTTCTTACTCCTTAATGTATCCCAAAGTGTTTCTGCTTTGTAATTCAGTCCGTCGTGAATCAAAACGTGTAGATGCTAATCATTTTCTCATGCAGCATTTAGTTTATCAGTCTCAGCAGGACACCAACTCCTTCCAGTCTCTTTAAAAAAGCCTCTGCAAAAAGCTCAGAGCAGCAGAGCAAAGGGAGCTTTGGTGGGGTTGAGTTGAAGCAGATGGCCAGACGAGCTGCAGCCACCTCCTTTCCTCCAGGGAGTCGTATTGTCTGTCCTGGAATGCTGCTCCGCTGACCTGCGACCCCCCTCGGCGTGAGCGAGGAGGCGTACTGTGACTTCATGGTAACGATCTGTGTCACACACTGTAAAATCATCACACATCCGAGGCGACAAAGCTGGAGGACTTCCAAGAACCCATTACATCAGAGGGTCGTTAAATGTGTCTGAGTTAATGTGTGCAGCGAGCGCGATCCAAATGTATTACAGCTGGCGCTTTTATGAAGGGAGGCCTGCTGCCGCCTTAACTGAAAACAGAAAAAAAGAGGAGAAAAAAAAAAAAGCATTTCTTCCTGGCCGAGGTGATTCTGGGACGGAAATATCGTTTCTTGGATGCATTTTATATTAGAATGAAGAAACAAAATGAAAACATGAAATGTTTTTTTTGTTATATATATTACTGCATATTCAGTTGTTTTGACATGTATTATAAGGTATTTCATATAGATTTTAACAATACACCTGGGGATTTTGGTAATATAGTCAAACGAAACTGAAGGGAAAAAAGCAGAGTACAGGTGAAACGTCGGATTTTATCGGTTGTATGATTTCTCACTTGTCTTTGGAAAAAGACCACAGGTCACTTCTCCCTGCACAGCTGCACTCTGGAATTTGTTTAGGTTGTATCTACCCAGAATGCCCGGTGCTATAGTCCACTTCCTGCTTTTGGAGTGATCCCTGGTTGGTCTATGGGTCTACTTGGCCTAAAAATATCCATTTGGACCGTACCGAAACAGCTNCTGGAGAGGATAAATTAAAAAGATACTCTACATTTATTCTCGCTTAAAATGGCTAAAATTATTTTCAGATAAAATCACTTTGGGTTAAGAAGGCTAAAATATCATCACCCAGCATTTCCAGAGAAACTTGTCCATTTTAAGCCCTAAACATTTAGTTTGGTGGTGAAGTGAGAGCATGTTGAGTTTAAAAGAGCTGCCTGAAGCCTTGAGAAAGAAGATTTTAACAACTTGTGTTAAATCAGACTGCTAAGAAAACAATCTACGGTGAAGAACACTCCCAACATGCCTCAGTCTGGCCTTCCAAGCAAGCGTACCCCAAAAGCAGGCCACACGATCCTAAAAGAAGGCTCCAAAAAAATTCTAAAACTTTACCACAGAATCTGCAGATAAAATATGGTACTTTAACAAGTTGCGTGCAAGAAGGAAGTCTCACAGCAAAGGTATGTTGTATAAAAACAATGGCCAGTTTGATTGAACATTTCATCGTCAGAGGACCAGAAAGTGCTGCAGCCTCTGTGTTTTGGAATCTGGAGGTCGGCTGTGACCACAGAGTGTTCACAAACAGTTGGATGCGTTGGCTGTATTTTTATTTCCACGTGGCCGTCACTGACTGAGAGCAACACCCGCTCTCTGGAGAGCTGAGAGCAGGCGGAGAATATGTGTGACATGTATGATTTGAAAAAGCCAGAGCAGTTAGCGCAAAATAACAACAGGGACATAAATATCACAGTCAACGTGTCGTTTACGGAGACGAAAACAGCTCCTGCGGTTCTGCTGTAACATGAACCGCACAGTACTTGCCTTACAGGTGGAATCGTGGCTCTTGATGTGGAGAGGAGTACATTTTCATGGTTGGATTAACTGTCTGTGGGAAAAAGAGGACACAAAGAATTCAGTGTTCTTCACTCCCAGCGTCTGTGCCTCATCAGATGATTTGATTTCTCCCTGTTGCTCCCAGTAATGGCTAATTCGAACCAGTAGTCCCATCCTGAATGACCCAGGCCAAGAGCTGAGCTGTTGCAGGACACTGAATTATTTTTTAATGTCTTGCTTAAAAACCTTTAACTGTGGAAAACGTTGAATTTTGCTGACTTAACCGCAGTGGGCCAAGCAGCCAAATCCAAATTCATAGATGGGTTTTCACATTTTTTTAATGACTTGTGGTTCTTTTAAACTAAAGCTTGGTTGTAAAGCTGAAGGAATTTGAGATGTTGCTTTCAAAACTTTTAATATATAAAAATCTGAAAAGTGAAGCAGGCATTTGCATTTAGACCCCTTGTGCCAACACATTTGTACAAGCAGCTTTTGCCACAATTATTATTGCGCAGTTGCAGTTTTGTTGCATGCATTGCACATGTATTTATTTTATTTATTTCGAACATGATAGAAATATGAAATCACACACATAAACAAGGAATGCAAAAGAGACATATTTTTGTACCACAATAATCTTAACATGCTCAAAAAAGAGTAGGAAGAAGAAATAAACTTATGAACTCCTACCCCATAAACTCATAAACAATATTTTCAGATGGACCCTCATTATAAAAAAAAATATATATATATATATATATATATATATATATATATATATATATATATATATATATATATATATATATATATATATATATATATATATATATACACACATACATATATAGGTTAATTAATTTTCCATTTTAAGTGGGCTTACATATGTCTAGACTCTAGAGACTGGATTTATCTGTTTCTTTTTTGTAATGCAGTTCAAGCTCAGGTAGACTGGATAGACATTTTGTTGTTGCATTGTTACTAAGGGGCGTGAATACTATTGCAAGGCATTGTATGTATGCAGTAAATGTGGACACTCACTAGTTTTATGGGGGACACAGTTTAACCAATACCAGATCGAGAGGGCATCATGGCAGCAGTTCTGAAGGTTTTGTTTTTAGATGAAGTGAAAAAGTACAAAATTGATTTTTTTTTTCTTCTGATGCAAAAATCTAAATTTTTAGGCCTTCTGGTACTGTTTGCATGACTTAGTCACACTGGTTACTCACATAGAGTTTTAAAAAAACAAAAACAAATATGGGGTCAAAACTAGAGATGTGCCGATCAGGTTTTTTCCTGCCGATTCCAATTCCGATCACTCATGAGGGCCGACCACCGATACCGATCACATAATTATTTATTTTTTTTAAATCATAAGCACTACCGGTTACATTATGTGTAAAAACATAATGTAATTCACCTGGCTGCGAAATGAGATACCGCCGATTATGATCGGTGGCCGATCGATCGGCACACCTCTAGTCAAAACATTATTCATGCCTTGTTAACAGTTCAACTAATTTTCAATGTTTTCCTAGTTGTTGTTGTTTTTTTTTTAGTTTTTCTCTTTTTTTCTTTTTTCTTTTAGCTATTTCAGTTTACATTTTGGGTCCCTGAAAATATATATTTTGAAGCATGCGTCTTCAGCTGCTCGTCCTCTGCGGTGTGGATTTAATAGTTTGTATTTCCGAAGCATTCAGTCCTAAAGGCCACCTCCGCATTTCACTGGTTTGGTATGTACCCTTTCTTTTCCACTTTGATATTATGACGTGAACTTGGCCCACTTACAAATCCTGAACAAGATTTAACAGCAGAGCGCAGCTGGGAGCCGAGCTGGGATGTTTGTCAGCAGCAGAGCTTTAATGTCCCATCCGACGCGCAGGTAGCTGTTAATAAAAACATGTTAGTCACTTAGCTGAAGATGTTGAAAATGCAGTATCTCTGCGGGTTTCTAACGCAAAAGGAGGACTTTTAAAAGAATTTTTATGAATTAAATTTATAAGACCTGTAACACGATAGAAATGTACAAAATATAACTTACTATTTTATATGGTAGTAATGCCAAGCTAGCTAGCTTGAAACAGTTACCTAGCAACCTAGCTAGCTAGTTAGCTCGTTAGCAAGGGTATAGAATGTTTGGAGATTTAATACTGCTGCCTTTACAACATTTAAGACCTGTGATTAAGGCCAACTTATTTTTTTCTAATGAATTTGAGACGTTTTAAGGACTTAATTTTAGATATATAAATTTCTAACACCGTGATATTAAAGCATGATGAGGAAGGAGACTGTCCTGAACCACAGGCAGATGACCTGCACTGTGAAAAATTACAGTTAACACCAAATGTTAACACCAAATGTTTCTTGTACCTATCTACTTCTGACTTCAGTTTGAGGAAGGTTGTTTCCACTCTTTGCTTTCAGCTGTGAGATGTTAGATGATTTTTTCTTAGAGGTTCAGCCTTTTGCAAGTGGATGAAAATCGGGCCTTTGACTCAGACTTTCCATTTCTTTATTATTCTAACCTGTTCTTCATGGATCTACTGGTATATTTTATATATTTTATTAAGATGTTTCAGGTCAAAGTGACGCTTCAGCATTGACTTTTTTGTTTTTTGTTTTTACAGATGTGTCACGTTTTCCTTAAAATAAACAGAGTTTATGGTGGTTTCTACGATGGAGAGCTGTTCAGCTCCTGCTGCAGCAAAGCATCCACAAAGCATGACACTTCCACCGCCATGTTTCAAGGTTAGTATGATGTATTTGGTTTATATGTTGACCTCATTACATCTAAAAACTGCTAAAAATCTTCTTTTTGATGAAGCAACTATTAACACTGAGTACACTACTCTAATGGTCTGAGGTTTAAATATTAAATCCCAGTGCATTCACCTTTACAAAGTTCCTCTATTGAGATTTTAATGTTGATTATTTGGATTTACAAGTAAACTTAAAATTGCTATTGAAAGTCCTAAACACCCATTTTTTATTTTTTACATGACCATACTTGTGCTGAAGTTTTTATATAACAGGTAAACATGAACTACTCGGAGGAAGAACCACTGACATGAGTTATACTCAACAGTGATGATGAAAGAGAGTTCACCTATTTCTATTTATTCTCTGTTTTATTCTATTTATGATCAAGTTAGAAACTAATAACAAACATAAGCTGTAACTTTATTTCTTTTTCCCAGCATCAGTTTACAGAAGGCATAATTTGGATTTTCTTTTAGAACAAACCAATAAATCATCAGTCATTATGTAAACAGTCAGCTGTAAGATATGTTCTTGGCGATAACAAAGATAACACAGCTTGATCCTTTAAAGTTTCATATAATCCTCGTTCTGTTCTGAGTCAATGTCATCCCTGCTTGGGTCAGATAAGAGAAGCAGCTTATCGGCACAAGAACTGAGTAATTTAATCTGCTGGAGTTCAAGTAGCTAGCTTTGTGTTAGCGAGAGATGGTAGGATGATGGAGGAGGAGCGGAGGCAAAAAAACAAAACTTTTGGTAGACCGGTCCGTCTAGATTCTGACCCTCATCTGTGCTCTGGAGATTTGGATCAAGACTAAAAGTAGAGCCCATATAAAATGTCTTAAATCAGACTCCTTTGTAAGTTGTCTTAACAGAGGAAGAGTTTTGAATACGTCACTGTATTTGTGTTGTAGAGTTAACGTCCTCAGGCGTATTAATGGAAAGTTAAATGGAAGGAAAAAAAGTGTGGAAGAAAATGGGGCAGAAGTGGATACACTTAACATCTCAACATTTCTAGATTAAAAATTATTTAAAAAATTTGCTTTATTGTGATATTTCGATGAATTTTTAATTTTCGTTAGCTGTCAGCAATAACCACCAAAATCTATAGGAATAAATTATTGAAATTAAGACTCAGTTTTAGAATTGAAATAAAATCAATTGTTGAAATGAATGTGAACTTTTTGTTGTCAGACTCAGAATGTGTTTATCAGCATCAACAAACGCTACTAAACTTAAAGCAGAAGGCTATTCATTGGGAAACATTTAAAACAAAAACTGAAGATAAGTCAGATCATTCTGCAGCCAAACAAGTTTTAATAACAGAAACAAAGAAAAAAATAGGCAGCTGGCATGTCAAATAAAAACCACAGAGCGATTTTTACAGCGCCTTTTCTGTCCACAAAAATGTGACGACTGCCACACTTATCAGATCAGACTCCATGTGAGATACTATTGGAGAACATAACATACATAACTCCACTCAACATTGCCCTTTGTTCCAAAAAAAAAAAAAAAAAAACACAGACACACACTCAGTGGCACAAAATACTTCTGTCCGACATCTACATCAGGTGTAGAGACAGAAATGCTGTTGAAACTGCTGGGAAAAAAAAAGAACAAAAACAAAAACAGGAGCACAATAACAACGAGACAAGATGCAGGAGCCAGAGTTTGTATTCACATTCTTATAGTCAATTCAGTTCATTTAAAATGACCCTGAGCAATGATCTGTGTAAACATTTCTACATTCGCTGCACACCAAACAAGAGAAAAGATTCAGTGCTTCCTGTTCCACATTCTCCAAGCTCACAAAGCATGTACACGTTTTTAGGTTTATAGGCATGCTGGTGTCGTTTACATATGGTACATTGCTGTGCATATACACTGGAAAAACATCACACCGCCTCTTCATTTTTAAACTTTGACTGTCAGGGAAATATAATAAATATGTAGTTATATACTGGTATGCGGGGAGTGCATTCTGTTTCTCCAGCAGTAGATACGGTGGCGGGGGACAGGGAAGGAAAGGGGGCGCTGTTCTAGCATACGAGCTAGGTGAAAGACAGGGAGCAGCAGAGGTCGTTCTGAGCCAGACTCTGGATCAGTCTGCACCACTCGGCCCGCTTCTGGGTGATGTAGGCTGGGGTGATGATTTGCACAGGGAGGCGGGGCGAGCCCTCCAGCCTGACCTTCTCGCACAAGGCCTCGGCGATGCAGATGACGTACATGCCGCAGTCGTAGCTGTTCTGCTGCGACGGGCACGGCTCCTCCACGAACAGCGCCTTCCTGCCGGCGCCGAGGAAGGGCTCCAGCTTGCTGGCGATGCGCCGCGCGTGCAGCGAGTTGCTGCCGTTCTGAGAGTCATAGTGTGCGAAGTGATTGGAGCTGCGGCGGTAGAGCAGGAGGCTCCAGTGGGAGCCGCCGGCCGTCTGGTTGGAGTTGTCGTTGACGGCCAGGAAGACCCAGCGGCGGGACGGGAGATCCAGCGGCTCCAGGAAGAGGGCCAGCTCGTCAGGACAGGAGGCGCACTTGATGAACTGGGTGACCTCCGGGCTAATGAAGATGGCTGCGTCGCCCAGGACTCTGAAGCGCTCGTTGGCAAAGTATTCGAAGGCAAAACCGATGACCTGGTCGTTGAGCCAGTAGGGGCCCTCCAGTAAGGACACGTCGGAGCGCCGCAGCAGGCTGTCCTGGTAGCTCAGCACTACAGGATCCATCCTTTGGCGGTGTCAGTCTGAAAAAAGAAAGAATAAAACTTTTTTTATTGGTATGCAATGTTCAGCAAACCACCTTCTTTAAATGTTCTCCATTTTTATCAGTTGAAGTAAATGTTTATTTACTTGTAAAAATGCCGTAATTGAGCCAAAATGTTGTTTTACCGTTAAAAAAACAATGAACATCCATTGTTGAAACTAAAATGGATTCTATTTGGGTTGATTTTCAACATACTTAGCAACTAAAAATAATAGAAAATTCTGATCAAATTTAGATAAAAATAGTTGCTGTTTTGAAAGAAATTGAATCGCTACCAGAATTGATTTTCCTACTTCTTGAAAACTGTTGACTATTCTATTAATTTAAAAATCTGACCTATTTTTGGGAGGAATCAACACAGACTTGTTACTGTTCTGTCAATCTGTGTTGCTTCCTCCCAAAAATAGGTCAGATTTTAGTTTCAACAATGGATGTTTATTGTTTTTAACGGTAAAACAACATTTTGGCTCAATTACGACATTTAATGTTTGTTTTGTTTTTCCACAATTTTTACAGGTTTAAATGTAAGTAGAGGTACAATAATTACACCATAATTTATGGTCTTAAAAAGCAGTAGCTATCTTAACTTTTGTTCTCCATACGTGACCCAGGTATAATTTGATCTCATTCTCATTGTCCATACCGTTTGAAAAGTTGCTTTGAAAAAAAAAAATCATAGAAAAAAATATTAAGTTCCTGAACTAATAGCTATGCTGAGGTGTTGATATTCAGTGAGTGATTCTAAATATCAACGAAAGTAATGAACATGACTGAGGCTGTATTAAACTTGTGTAATTTCAAAGCCTTAAGTTTAGCTAAATAAACTACAAAAACCAACGCACATTGATCCAGCATCTAAAAGGGGCTGGCTTGATTCGTTTATTTGAGTTTTTGTTAAAAAAGTAACTAATTTTATAAGCAGAACTTGGTGTTTGACGAGGTTACATCAGTGTCTGTTGGGTCATAAACTCGCAGCAAAGTGTCGTATTGCTGCATTGCGTTTAGTTCATTTTCTGATGGCAGGCAGCTAACAGCCAACACAGTCGAATGCTAGCACTAGCTAGCCAACCGCTACCTTCACCACTCACGAAGCTAAATAACTAACTGCAACCTACAGAACATACACACCACTAAGTGACAAATTACAACATGCAGGGTTCGTTTAATGTCCCTACCTTTGAAAGACACATTCAAACAATGAACAGCATGAAAACTGCACTGTTGTCCCTCATTGCTCTGGCTATCATAAGCCGCATCTGGACAGTTGGGAAGACAGAATCAGAAGCTCACATCCGATTGGCTCCGTACATCCGGGGATCCGGATAGTGGAGTAACTCAGAGGGTAACCGTTTTTGACAGCGAACGTACGCAATAAAAATTTAATAATGCTTCTTTTTGATACTTGTGTAACACAAAATGAGATTACAGATCTCTCAACTATATAAAACCCGTTAACTGAAACCCTAAATAAACTTAAAATTGACTCATATAGTTCAGTTATCGTTTATTTGAAACACGGGGTGTTTCATTGGCTCCTTCGCGACCGTGTTACATTTTATTTACTTCCTGTTGTCATGGTGTGTTCGAGCTGTCCTGGATAATCGGAAGTTTCAGCTTTGGGAGATGATTTAAGATCAACCAATCAATAAATAAATAAACTTAATAAAAGCCTGGTAAAAATGAGAAGAAAAAAACGTGTAAATTGCCTGTTTTTGAGATGCAAGCTATTGTTATTGATACGAGAGAAAAGTGGTATATTTCTCTTCATTTAAAGTGGTAAACAACCAAAGAAACATGCTTACATATATATGCAAGTTGTACTGCAGTAAGTGTACCACTTGTGGTGATTGCTTCCTTTATATAAGCAGTTGATTAATAACTTTCACAAATTTTCTATATAGGTATTTATTTATTTCCTGTTATTTACACTTCTGGTGCTCTGTTTCTTATTAAAACAGAGAAACACAGTAGAAGGACTTAACAACATTCCATTGTATAAATTTTCCTTTTGTGTGTGAATGCATAGAATCACACTGCATTGTTTATCAGAATTAGTCTGATATGTTTTCTTTCTTTTTTCCATTCTTTCTTCTTTTTTTTTCAAACTTAAACGCAGTTACGTGGCGCTATTCCCTACACTGAGGATGGAACACCCGAGGTGATTTGAACGCATCATCACTCCGCGTTTGGAGCGCGCTCTGGTTCGTAGTTCATATAGTTCGTCCTCCTTTTGGGATTTCTCCCTCCGCCCATAAGCCGCGGGGACGCGCCTCAGTGTGGCCGCACTGATTAGTAAAAGGCAAAGCGGAGTGAGCCGCGGAAAGCTGCATTTTAAATTGCATTCTAACTACAAACGCGCTGGGATAAAAAAAAAAAAAGGAGAAGAGGAATGCAAAAGATGTTCGCCGCGAGCTTGAAATTTCGAGGAGTTTTGTCGGCATGCGGTGGGCAAAAGAAGGAATAAAAACTCCTCAATTCAGCGGGAATGCAGAGAATTAAAATAGAGACTTAGACACTTTGCGGGACCACAAGTGTGCGTAACTGTGCAGCTTAGCCTGACTAGAAAAGGGGAGCTCAAGACTGGCTTTGAGTTAACTTCAACACACGCCTGGAGGTAAGAAAGATGTTTAGTTGTTTGATGGTGGGCTGGAAATAGCCTCTACAATCTAATGAATCACTGCTCATTCTTTGTGACAAACTTGTTCTTCTCATCTGCACTCATTTGAAACATTGTTTTCAGCTGTCATTCGTTTTGGGTGTGTGTGTAAGGGAGAACTTATTATTAAATGATTAGTCACAATTAAAGGCGTGTGTGTGTGTGTTTGTGAGATGTGAGCAATGTAACAAGTTGTCTGTTGCTACAGACTGCTCGCTTTGCATCCCTGGGCAGCAGATTAAGCCTTAAACACGGGATTGATCGAGATTGTCCACATGCTTGTTTGCATCATTACGCATCGCAGTTTTGCAACCGTGCACATCTGGACAGTCGTTTGTAGTCGAGATGGAGAAACGGATACATAAAGCTGACAACTTTATTGCACAGAGCTAATTAATAACAAAACCGAACTGCTACATCATCCAGGGTCCTTGAGACCTGGTAGGGAGGAGGGTGCTGCTTTTTTCCCCTCTCTTTACCTTTTTTAGTTTTTGCCTGCAATGTGGTGGGATGGGCAGCGCTTACATGTATTATTTAGTAGAGGTCAGACGGTGCAGCTTATAGCACAGTGTAAGCGACTCTTTCTGCAGAGCAGCTGGAACTGTAAAGTGAGGTCTGACGAGGTGAAGAAGATGCTGAATCATGGCTGCGCCGTGCAGACTGTCAATGGAGGGAGACGACAGCAGACACAAAACACCCTGCATCCGAGCAGGGCGTTCAGTGCATCACATTTGATCTCGTTTTTAATATTCATATATACATTAGGTTTTTTCTAGCCTGTTCAATATCTTAGTGTGTAATATGTACTTCCAAATCCAATCGTGACTACTTCTTAGTTGATGTTTTTCTTTCTTCATAAGGACGAGAAAGTACAGGAGGGGGAAAAAAGGTTTTGAGTCCATTCCAAAATGAAGGAATTGCAATCTGTGCATTACAGCATATCTGCTCTATTTTTATATAACTCTAATTAAACTAACAAAAATGCATCAAAGTAGGTGATTCATGTAATGATTAGGGGGAAAAAAATAACCATTTGACCAGTTAATCACTGATCAGATCTGAATAAGGGAGGAGAAAAAGGTTATTTATTGGCCCATCACTAGCTACATGGCTTGATTTCTGATTGCATATGTGAAAGAAGAGACCCACCCCATGTTTTTTTCATTTCTTTTTAGTCAGAAAAGAGAACTGCTTTATTATTAAATAGTTTCCTAACCGGGAAACAAAAAACAAGCAGCCGCCTGTACAGTAAACCTCTCTCCTCTCCCTTGAAGTTCCTCTGCATGCTGTTTAGATGGGTGCAGGTGACGAGAGCAGAGTGGGTCTGTCCTGCAGGAATGTGGGCTCTGAGAAGACACAGCTGCTGTGAGCATGAGCTGGACTGAGACTCCAGCAACTGGTTCCCCGTTGACATCTGATACCCCACAGACCCCTGGCTCTGCTATTTCTAAAGGGACTGGCCACAATTTTCTATCACGTCGGTGGTGTGCGCAGAGATACGACAGACGCCACTGGGGAGAGCAAGAGTTTGGGATATTGGATAACTCTTTGAGTCTCTGCAAGAGATAAATGTTGATGGAGAATGTTGGAGGGTTTTTTCTGCCTGGAGCAAAATCCTCGCAATTTTGGAGAAATGTTCTCAAGCTCAAGCATTCTCCAGAGGATATGCTTGATGAATGAAGATGAACTTTTTCTTTTTTTAAAAAAGTTCTCTGTTTAAAACTTGAATGCATTGTGTGCATTTTAATTTTTGCAACATAAGTGTATTCGTTTCAGCACAGCAAAAGTTTGAATGACTTGGACTTCAATGAGGAGACACAGGTAGAGTGAGTTAGTTTGATCATCTGATGCTAAAAGTTGAATGGATCAAGTTGTTGTTTAAAAAAGCAGTTATTTCCAAGGATGTATTCACACCAGCTTTGCTTAGTTCGCTTTAATCGAACTCTAGATCGTTTGCCCCAAACCAAAAGCACTTTGCTTTTGGTTTGGGGAGATTTGCATACGCAATTGAACTCTGATGCGGACCAAAAAAATGAAATTTGGTTTGCCTAAAAACCTGGGTCTCGGTTCTCTTGAACTGTTCAGCTATATATGTGAATGTCAAGCAGACTAGATACCATTCCAAAAGCAGGAAGTGGCCTATAGTGTAGGATATTCTGGACAAATATAACCAAAACAAACATGCAAATCTAGCACCTGCAGGGGAAATGGCTTGTGATTTTCTTTTTACCAGCGACAAAAGAGAAATCCTACAACCGCTAAAATCTGAACCCACTACATTTTTGTTTTTTACGTTTTCTGAAGAAGGAAGTTGTGCTCATGTTATCTTCAGAGGTTTTCTTGTCGTTTCCTTCTACAGTTCTTGGTGCTGCGCCACCACAGGCAAGATGGGAACAGGTTTTTCAAGGGTTTGGATCGTTTGACACTTTGCAGTGTGAAGCCAACACACCTGCTGAAAATAATACAGCAAATATTGCAGTTTTGGTCACCAATCAAACTGAGTCTACAGGACTATCAGGTGTGAAATCAACCCAAACTTCTGTCTTCTGGTTCATCCTATTATTGCACCTAAAGGTTTTTCAGACGGACAGAAATCTTGTTTTTCACAAACTTTACTGCTTTAGTTTTTATTGCAATTAATTGTTTGAAGTGCAATTAATTACGAAGGTAATGAGAGTTAACTTGACCTTACAAATCTAATTTGCTCAAATTGACCTGCTGCAGCATAATTTTAATGATATCATCATTGGCTCAGGGGAAGTTGTAAACCAGGACAGAGTAGCTGGTATTCTCACTGAGTTAGAAGAGTAGAGCGGTCGTATTTAAAGAGAGAACTGTTTGAAACCATGCTTCGTCTCCTTGCGTCCAAAGAGTTTGACAGGCAAGTCCAGCAACCACTTGGACTTGAGGATTTGAGTAAGCGATTCTGCAGGAGATTTAGGGTTGGGTCGAGAAGGACTGGGGTCAAGTTATTTTTTTTTGAGTGACACTCTCTTCTTATTGTTTGGGACATCTGGAAAAAGGACCAACAGTAAAAGCTCAACCTTAATTTTGTTTAAGCATGCCGCAATAAATAAAGAATTGGATCAAAAGCTGCTTCAAGAGCAACTTTTAGTAACAAGAAGCACTTTGGGGATGATTTTTTCCCCCCCCTGTACAATTGAAGGCCTCTCTCCCAGGAAAAAAGTGAGAACAAAGTGGGCTATCAATCAGAAATGTTGAGTCCATCGCCAAGAAACTCTTGCATAAACTTTTATGGACTTTTCATAAGAAAAGTCAGTAAAACTATGAAATGTTAATCATTAAACTTCTGTATGTCACAGAAACCTTGCAGTTTCATCCAACCACACTTGAGTGATAATGTTTTTTAATTACAACATTTCTGTTTGTCCTGAAGTTTTGACATCTGTACAATAGTGAGCTGATGTCTTCCATAACTTTTGGATGAAATCTCCTGTTTGCCTAATTAGGTAGAAATTATTTTAAACGTAATTTTTATAGAGAAACATAGAGCGTTAAGCATGGTGAGGCAACTTTTCATCAAACAAACTGCAGTGATGACCCAAATACAAGCTCCTATTAGGCTGGTGGTTAGATTGAAGAATCACAATTAAACCGTAATCTAAACGTGCGGAAAAAAGTGCTAATTCACTTGTTTTCATGCCCATGGCTT